GATTTCAAAATTAATTTAACCTACATTTCAACTTCTTTCTTCCATTCACCCTCTACTATAATAAAGACAAATTTCCCCTAAAACCATAATTATAAATATTGTAGTATTAAAAACTCCCTATTTAAAACTGAACCTATTACTTTCAGGCTAATTACCAATTTTCTAGCCTTACTTGCAGTAGAACTCTCCTGTTTGGGAGAGCTTTAATTAAAAAGAAGTTTTGATTCATGTAGTGATATTTCAGAATATTTGCTTCTCAGTTCCTTTGTAGACTTGAATTCAGCGAAATCTGTGTTTTCATGTAACAGTCACAATCGGCCTTAATTGAACAGTGAGCTTCTTTTGATAGTGATCTAATGTTTAAAATATGAAGACAGGCATGTCAATTATAATGGGAGAAATGACAATAAATAAAATTTATGAAAATGAGTAGGGAAAAATAAAAATAGAAATAAATGTCTTATTTGTTAAATGTAAGTAACAGTGAATAAAAATTTCTATAAGTATTATTTTGAGCATAGAGCACAGAGTCTAGTGTTGTACTGGAAGGTGAGTTAGTGTATTTTTCATACCGTCCCTTTCCCCCACCTCCTTTCTCGCTCTCTCTGCCCCCCAATCTCTCTCTCTTTTTCTCTAGGCTTGAGATTTTCCCTGCTAAATTATAGAATTTATATATCTTATGTATTTTAAAGTATAATAATATGTGTACTGTATAGAATGCATGAGATAGTATAAATATTCCTGGAAATCCAAACAGTATCAAAACACTCAAAAAACTTGTGGTGTAAATATGAATTCATTTAAAAATTCCGTAAAAAGTTAGACCGAACAATCAAAGTGGGTGTGTTTCTGCTTTGCCTTCTCCGGTTCTAGTGGGACAAAGCCCTGTCAGTTGCACCAGGGGTCTCTGTGAAATACTGGAAGAAGCTGATGCAGAGGTAAGGCGGAGAGTGTGTGTCCAGACAGATGATCTAAGATTTGTTAAAATAGAGGCAATGTAGAAGTATGATCGTAGCTTTTGAGGTTTTTTTACTTTTAAGTTGTTTTAAATGATAATTTCATATCTCCTTATACAATAAATTAAACGAATCAGTCATAAGTCATTTTGGTGTTCTTTATCTGCCCTGACATCTGATAAAAGCAGTGGAAGGCAAATTTCACTGAGTTGGTGGAAGAAATGACAGATCAGGCAACATACTCACTGGTTAATGTATTGCTATTGAAATGTAAGTGGTAAGACATTTGAAGGTTACGAACAGTTCATGAAATATTCTATAAAAAATCTCAGAAATTCTCTCTGTAGATGCTAATTCCTGCCATGTCCCCTGCATGGACATAAGGTGGGTGCTGATGGTAAAGAAGAGTCTTACCCTCGAACACGCTTGACTAAATGTCCTTGTTCTGGAACGCAGTAGAGGGACACGGTTTTTCTCTAAGTGTATTGGTTTCCTGGTGCTGCTGTAACAAAGGACCACAAACCCAGAGCTTAGAACAACAGAAATGTGTCCTCTCATGGTTCTGGAGGCTAGAAGTCTGCCGTCAAGTTGTTGGCAGGGCTGCTTCCTGCTGGAGGTTTAGAGAGAGAATTAGGCCCATGCTTGTCCCCCTGGCTTCCCATGGTCACCGACAGTCCTTGGCTCCCAGCCTCACCCTTGTCTTCACGTGGCATTATCCCGCACATGGGCCTCTGTGTCCAAATTACCCTTTTTTTTTTAATAAAATGCCAGTCGTATCAGATCTCGGGTTTACCCTAATCCAGTATAACCCTGTCTTAACTAATTATGTCGGCAAAGGCCCCATTTCCAAATCAGGCCACGTTCACAGGTACTGCTGGTCAGGGTTTCAGCATACCTTTTGAGGGGGGACACATTTCAACCCATAACAGAAGACTATTCTCTGTTCTGTTCTATTCATTCATTCCACAAACATTTAGTGCTCACTACATGCCAATGACTGTGGAGTTCTGTTTAATGAGTAGCTACCTTGCTTCTGGCATTAAAAATAAAAGTTTGGTTTTTGTTTCATAGGACGTGGTTTAGAAAACAGATTCCACTGCGGTTCACATGTACTGATAAAATCAATCAGAGGCTAAGCATGAAATCCAGAAGGATTAACACATGAGCCTTGGGAAAGTGAGCTGTTCCCTCGCACCTACTGTCCCCAAATCAGTTATGCAACAGGTTGGCTCCAGCCCTCAGACTCCAGGCTCCTTATCCTAAACTCTAAGAATCCAGAGTCATTCTGAGCTCATGTCCCCTCACTGCACAGCTGTAAATGTCACTGCTTCCACTGATTCTTGAATACAGTCCACTTAGCAGAGGATATTTATTTCACAAAACAATTTTGTTTCAACCCGAGAAGCAAAAAATCTTTTCCATTTATCTTTGAAAACCAGCACCCGATTTTCTCTGCTCTCCGCTTCACGTGGTGGCCAGAAAATCATCTGCCTGCAACTCATAAATTTATGTTTTATGAATCCAGCCATTCAGAGAGATTGATTGGCAGTCTCTCAGTCATAGCGCCAAATGAATTGAAGACTTAAGAGTGAATGATGCAAACAACATAAAAAGTACCTACTACACCCACCCAAATGTTGGCAATTGAAATGTAGTTTAATCCACTTGCCAGCATAAATTAAATATACCTGATTAGCTTTCAACAGAACTGAGGTTCTGTATTAAGCGTGGAATTAACGAGGCTGGTCCGTGAGAAAGTACCTGGGACTTAGATCGGGTAAGAGAAACAGAGACAGACAGACAGACTGTGACAGCTACAGACTGACACATACATATCCTTCATAATCTCCAAGATCAGGTCCCCTCTCCCCTCACGTATCTGGGACATTGTCTTTCTTTACACTACCTTGCTGGGGGCAGTAACAGTATTCTGCATTTTGTTATCGATGTTTATGTTCTTGTATTATTCTTTTTAATGATTTTGAGGCTACCTGCATTTAGAGGCTTTTTATTCATTCTTGTGCTAACAAAAATATTTAAAATTATCTCTCTTTAATGAATGGACACCCACATGTGCATAATCCAATTGAGAGTAGATATCTCACATAATAGGCTCCACTTATCTTCAGAAAGATATAGTCCCCATTTTAATAAATAAGCTGCATTGATTTTAAGACCTGAAATATCAGTGAATTTATAATATGAAATTATATAGTGTTCTGAGGGAAAACAAGTACCTATAGTATTTATTATATCAGAAAACTTTTGTCTCCCAAATACAACGTGGTTATAAAATCGAAGTCTTTGTGAAATCTGATTCAAATTTTAGATATTTCAAGTATTTCAGAAAATCTCAGCCCAGAACCTGAAATCAGTATAGTGTAAACAAATTGTTGTTGTTTTATTAGGAGAGCGGATCAGTTAATCCAGGAAGATAAGGATGATGTCATTCCATACTGCATAGCCATTGGTGATGTGAAAAAATTAGTCAATTTTTTAATGTCAAGAGGTCAGCTTAAAGAAGCCCTGCTTGTTGCACAGGTACAACCACGTAACTGCAGGGGCTGCACCCGCTGGGGGGCGGGGGTGGCACACGGGGTGGGGGTTGCACTGAATGACAGAGTGAAGTCGTAGATGGCTTGGCATCAGCCCACCTCCCGGCCTTCTTTCTCGACATTTCAGCTACACTGTCTTTGCTCTGGTCACTGAGCTCATTTTGGATCTTTAAACGTACAAGCATCCCTGAACTCTGACCTACTCTACGCTCCTGAACGCTATGTACACTTGAACCATTTACTTGGAGCTTCATGTTGGTAGTCACAGTGGAGTTCACCAGTTTTTCCTTCTCAAATTCTGAGGCTGTCTCCAAATTGTAATACAAGTTTCAAACCTGATTTAAGTATACTTCGTTCAAAACAGTGTTCTGAGATTGGTCAGTTATCCACAATTAGCTAAAGATTAATTAAAGGTTGTGTTAAATCCCAGGCTGCTTGTGAGGGAAACCTGCAAACTGTGCCTGTCTCTACACCTGAAGGATCTTGGTGTTCCGCTGACACCTGCAAGGGAGACTTCAATGAGTGAGCGACTCAGTCTTTGTTTGGGATCAGCTTTTGTGTGTGTGTGTGGCTGGTTTCCCTTTAGGAGCTTCTGAGGGCCGTGTCGTTTAGCCTTCTTCATGCACAGAGGACTTGGCTGTCTCATTCCTCAACCAGGCTCCTCACCACCATCAGGTACCATCACAGCATCCCTCCCTAGATGCGCAGGGAAACGCCAGGTGTGTAGACACAGCCTTCGCACGATGTGTACAGCTTCCAGAAAAGCAGGCTGCATTTCGGAAGCAGCTGAGTCCTTAAAAACTGACCAAACCTGCTGGGGAGGAGGGGACAGTAAAGGTAAGATTAGTGTTTCACTGTAGACTCAGAGTAGTTAACGTCTTGGTGACATTGCTCACCATGCACGACCCAGTATTAGTGTCTAGAATTACATTAAGGCCCCTTTTAAAGATGAAGTGCAAATACTTACATTTTTAAAAGAAATGGAAATTAGGATTCTTCAGCCTTTGGACTTTTTTCAAATTTAATGTACCTTCCCCCACATCTTCTCCTAGCTCCTGTTATTACCCTAGAAAATAGGATATTTAAATGTTTAGGATGTTTATCAAGTAAAAAACGTGATCATAAAATGCTAAGCAAATAATGTGTTAGGACTAACGTATTCCTTTCTGGTCCTTTGCTGCGATCCTCTGCCGTTTCTAAACTTGGCATTTTAAAGATCTAACATAACCACCCCTATTCTGGTCGCCACCTAAATTTTGAGAAATTTCAGTTCAGCCTGTAATTTCTCTAAGGTTAGTTGCCTCTGTAGCTGCCTGAGGCATAAATTATTGAGTGTAGGATGGGAAATTCTGAGAATTGAGACTTTTCTCCTGAAATAAGAAAAATTGGAGGAGGGGGAGGTGGCTTCTCAGCTCATCTACTAAGAAAGACTGTGTTCCTGATATTTCCCCCCAGATCAGGCTTTACGCCTAAACCAAGAATATCAGATTGAAGCCTGGTTGGTCCCTTAATCAGCTTCTTGTAAAAAGGCATCAGTTCACTTTCATGACGGAGTCCTTGTTTTTGTATCGACTGTGTGTGCTTTTTCTTCCCAGACTCCTGCAGGAGGCCTGCAACGAGCTGGCAGAGTGGTATTTCCAGGAGGGCCGAGCAGTCCTGGCTGCATGTTGCCACCTCGCTGTAGATAATATTGAGGTACAACACTGCAGACTTGTTCATGTGAATGAAAACTCCCAAGAGGTGTCATGGTGTTTGAGGCGACGACATACGGTGACTTTCTGTGTGACATCTAGCTCTGCACACTTTCCATGCCTGAGCAATTACGTGCCTGATAAACACAGATGAACTCTACAGACTAGAAGATCTTTTATTTATCTGTTTATTTCATCACAAGATACACAGTTGTAGCAACCTTTTTTTTAACTTTAAGCGTCTCATCTTAGATGAGAAGCAGTAGTGTGGCAAGGGAGAAAATCACTGCAGTTAGACTCAGAACACCTGACTTTTGAAAGCAGTTATTTTAATGAATACTTTAGTATAGTCTTCACAAGTTATGTTTTTAAGGTATTTTCCTTTGACCTACTAATGTAATAAAGAAACCATTAAGTGCAGATACGGATTCTATTTTGCATGTATCCTTAGATATATTGGCCTTAAGGGATAACTGATCATCATTATACACTATTGAAGATGTTCAGAATTTATATATTTTTTTCTGATAGAGACTGAAGGAGACTTTGAGGATATTGCAGAGAGACTGTTATTAATTAATTACAAAAATATGAGCAAAAGTTCTAGAACTCTTGAATTCCGATCTTATAAAATTTCCCGTATGTCCCTTTATCAGCTTTTCTACCTGAGAATTGCAGTTGCTCTCACAGAAGTACTTTATAGAAATACTACACTCAATATTTCATAAGGATAACTGACTGTAGGTTAATATAACTTTATCATCTTTACGAGCTTGACGGGGAATGCTGATCCTACCCAGCATCTATGAAACTGAAGAAGTTGTTTTCTCGTTGCGCAAGCTGGCGATGGCGTACCTGATCCGTGGGAATGAACTGGAGCTGGCCGTCTCGGTGGGCACAGTCCTGGGAGAGCCCGCAGCCCCGGCCACCCACTATGCCCTGGAGTTACTGGCGAGAAAATGCATGATGATTCCAACGTGGTAAGCACTTATAAATCCAAAGAATAGTTTCCTAGTGATGGAATGAACTTTTAAAATATTGTAAGTTGCATTCCGTAAGGTGTGTTGGGAGAATATAGGAGCTCCTTTTAAGTAAGAGATAAGATTGTGGGAGGAAATGGTGCAATGAGTATGAATTGATAGTAAGAACTACCATGGTACGTAGTGAAATCTCCCATCACTCATTCTGAAGTAGCCCAGTTGCAGTTCGTACTATTTCAAGGGCATAAAGCATCACGAGACGATAACATGGCCTTCTTAAAACTATTGGGACCACACATTCCCACATTTTAAATTCTGCATATCTACACTCTTTCTTGTCAGATCCTGTGTCCTGGTTCAAGGGAGAAAATAAAGTCACTTTCATAACAGGGAGTAGTAAAAAGATGGCGTAGCTGGAAGCCTGGAACCCGCTCGGGCAGTGCTCTAAGGCATACCCTGGAAAGTCCCCGGGGAACCCGGGTCTGCAGCTCAGAGCGGCCGTCCCTCCCGCCTCCTCCGGGCCCTGCGCTCAGGGCAGACAGCCCTTCACCGTGGAGGAAGGAGACAGTGCTGTCGCTCAGTAGATATTTGTTGAATAAGGATGATTTTAGACATCTGTCTTCTCTTTCCTCTCTTGAACCTCGAGAGGTTTCTAAATAAGCTTATCTGTCAGGACTTTCATGTCTCCCTGCTGTCCACCCCAGGCACACACACAGCACTCTTAAGGTGGAGCTGTGCAGGCCACTGTGGACACTAGAGGATGCTGGTGGTAATCCTCGTCACAGCTCATCAACACTTCTGTCCTGCTTCCTGGGTCCCCGCACTTGACGTACAGCAACTCACCAGGCACCGTGCAGAGGGGACTGATTTGCCTCAGGTCTCAGTAAACGCTGGAACTGAGGCTCAGAGAAGCATAAATTGGCTCCAGTTTGCACTCTTAGCTACTGTTGTCGTCACTTGGGGCCACTGTCACAAATACTGCATCCTGGGTGACTTACAAACGGCAGAGATTTGTTTCTCAGGGTTCTGAAGGCTGAGAAGTTCAAGACCACAGCACGGGCAGGTCTGGTGTCTGATGAGAGCTGGCCTCCGGGCTCCTCACTGGCTGTCGTTTTGCTGTTCCGTGGTGGAAGGGGTGTGGCTCCCTGTGGCCGCTTTCATCAGGGCACTGACCTCATTCACTGCGCTCTGCTCTCATGACCCAGTTCCCTCCCAAAGGGCCCCCCCTGCTAATACCATCGCACCGGGGGTTACAGTTCAACATAGGACTTTTGCAGGGACACATTCAGCCTACAGCAGCTGTCACACCACGTCACCCCCTCATCAGGGCTAAGTCAGGAAAAGAGCAGGGCTTCCCAGTGTCCTCTTTCATTGGCTTTGCGGGCTTCACAGTGAATCAGGAATCTCTGAGTTTTTCTAATTTTACCCTTATCTGTGATACCAGGCTCCCTACCCCCACCACAGTGTAGCGGTGGGTACTCCGCCATCACCTCACTCAGACTCAACTAAGTGTCTAATGCTGACCGTCCTCTGAGAGGACCTGGCTCCCTCTCTCAAGAACTGTGGTGGTTGCCTCAGCGGAAAGCGTGCGCTCTCACTCAGACTGTTCACTCACGAGGGTGACTGACTGTGCTAAAAGCTGTTGTCTAATTCCAATAAAAGTTGGTTACTTTTTTTAAAAAGTAAAGGCAAAAAGTAGCAAAACATAAAAAGATGACCAGGTTTCTATGTACGAGAAACCAGGATAAAGTTCAGACTCTGAAATGCATGGTGCCAATCAGGTTTCTTTCCAGAGGAAACCTATAACCCCTGTGGCTCTTACTAGAGCTCCACAAATTTAAAAAAAATTAAGATAGCTGCATTATTTCAAGAGAATATAATTTTAAAAAATTGAGGGTGGGGAGGTAATAAGTTTTATTTATTTATTATTTTTTAATGGAGGGACTGAGGATTGAACCCGGGACCTCATGCATGCTAGGCATGCACTCCACCACTGAGCTGTACTCTCCTCCGAGAGAATATGATTTTATAAACCAAGAACACTTCGTGTTTTTTACATTTACTGGTAAAAGTTTGCTTTTTCTTGGTTCTCATTGCATATTCATGGTTTTCAAATTCATTTTCTTTTTAGCTTTCCATCTGTTGGATACAGGTATTATCCAGTTTTATTAAAAAGTGTAATTAAAGTTTATATATCATTTTGTTTTCTTTTTAAAATATCAACTCTTTACCAAGAAAAATGATCACTGTTTTTGCTTTATTGTTTTACAGAATGTCAGTTCATTTATATCATTTATATAAAACGTAACCACAAAGTAATGAGAATGGTTCCTGTAACCTAGATGCAAAATCACTCATGATTTTATACTTTAAATTTGTGTAATAAATGAACTGTGGCTTTCTACAATAAAACAATAGTTAACTCAGCTAAGCAAATTAAAATGCCTGTTTAATAGTGAAATTTAAAAGTTTAGATCATTTGTCTGCTCTATATTTCCTCTGTTGGCTACTGAATTTTCAATAAATAGTGAATTAGTCCGAATGGATAAAATTAGCTAGCACTGCTGTAAATTTCACTGTGTCAGGATATAATTCTAGGGTAAGAAAGTCAGGTTTTTGTCTGAAGTTCATAGATGTTTAAGTAGAATTTTAGCACAGGTTTTTTATGCAGTATAAAACCAAATGATAATTTCTATATTCTCATGGACATTATTAAAAACTGCTATTAAATGTTAGTGTCAGAAAACATAAATTACTCTAATTTGGAACCTGTAAAAACACCCACAGATTTAATTGCCCAATGATGACAGAAGATTTGACACACACGGATTATCTCTGTTCCTGTTCTGTGCTCTATTCTTTATTAAACAGCTCCTAAATTTTCTAAAATAACTAATGTACATGAATGACCAATGTAGATTTTACTGAAGTCTTCACAAAGGAGGTGGAGGAGGATTTTGCTCTGAGTCCATGCACAGCCTTTGTGACTTAACGTGTGGAATATTGCCTGTTCTAAAGTCATGCTGCATATCTATGTATCAGTTTTGTGAAAACTGAACAATAATATTTTAACCCAATAAAATTAGTGAGGTCTCAGTTATGAGGCATAAAATCCAAACCTCCTCACCTAGTGATTTTTGAAAATGATTTTATGTACCCTATCTTAATGTAAAATTAAGTCCATACATTTTTAAATGTCTTATTTTAAAAATGATTTATTCCAGTGATTAAATCTTTAGCAACCATGTCAGAAAAGTACACTTCTATGTTTGATTCCAACCTAAAGTTTAAGAAATATGCAGACTACCCAAATATCTAAACTTAAAGTATCTAAGTATCCCCTAGATTTCATGTGCTGGAAAATGCTGGTGACCGCTGTTGGCAGGTACACCAGAAGCTGATGAGAATTAGCTCTCACGGAGTTTTCTTCATTGTTCACTCCAGAGAACATGTCTCACACTACTTAGTCTGGTTAGAGAATTAGTCTATAATAACAAAACTAACTGTAAACATGTAAAGACTCAGTTTAGATTTTTAAAAAATATTTAGGATTTTCATAATACACTTTTCCTTCATGCCCGTTGGTTTCTGTAACCTGCATTTCTAGGAGTTCCATTGTTAAGTAGAAATCAGTGCTGTTTATGAAAACAGAAAAGCAAGGGGAGTGTGATAAGGATCTTCTTCCTTTGAAATAGCTCTAAAACGTTATTTTTAGATTTTTCCCTTCATTGAAGTTTCCCCTCTTGTGTGAATAGGAACTTGGCAGCCGATCTCCTCCTCATGACTCCTGACAGTGAACTGCAGTTAGTAAAGCTCTGTGCTTTCTGCCCCGGCTGTGCTGAAGAGCTGAACGATCTTCATGAGAAGGTGCGCTGGGGACACTAAGTGTCCTGGTCTGGGGTGCGGGCTGCGATGTCATCAGTGTTGGGTTTGGTCAAATAGGGACGCCCGCAGAGAAACAGAAAAACGGTCCCCTCAGGACCCTCTTAAAAGGAGAACAAAAATTGCAACAGTAAGAAAGCATTTATGAGTTTCTGCTA